CGGGTAATGAAACGTTTGCAAGAAAACAACCAAGCTCAGAGAACCCCAAGGACTCCACAGAGATCTTAGTGTCAAAACCATGTCTGGGAAGACACAGTCCAAATCAGAGCCCCCTTCTAGCAATGCCTGCAGGTTCATCTTGGGCAGACATGGAAGTTTTACTTTAGAGGAACCGGTGCCTAGCGTGAGGGCAGGAATGGTCTTGGGAATACTTGGCCAACCATTGACACAGGCTGTGTGCACAGCAGGTGCAACCAGGTCATGTGAAGCTGGGTTACCTTTAATCTTGTACAGGTTTGTTTGCATTTTTGGCCTTTGTGTTTCGTGACCACAGTTCTTGAGGCTGTTTTGTGCTTCAAGACATTGTGCAAGGCCAGAAGGTCTCTCTGTGGAAGCAGCTTCTACTCCTGCTCTGAGTTGGATCTCATAACTTCTGCAGGCGTAAGGAGAGGTGGTCTGTTCCCTAATTCAGCAGTTTTCAGACTTTCCTTTTACGAAGGCCACTACATCCTGTTACATATTGAAAGTTTTGCAGCCCACCAGATGAGGAAGCCTTCTGAACCCAACCCCTTTATGGGTGCCAAATGAAGCGCTTGGAAATTCCCGTGTTCTGACTGCTGAATGTGCAGGGAGAGTCAGTAAACACTGAAGTGAGAAGAAGTCACTTCAGCATGACATCAGTGTTTACTGACTCTCTTTGCAGAGAGAATAGGACATGAGGCAAAGATGTTTGTGAAATTAATGATAAGGATATAGCATTTAACATATTTTTGAAGGGAAATCAGGTATGGGGGCCCATTGCTTGGGATCTATGGACCTCACTTATTTTTTAGCCTTGACTGTCCTCCGCTGTCCTAATTTCACGCCACTGCTTCAGCTCAGTGCCAGGACGGGCTTCCCTCTCCACTTGGCCTCCTCTTTGTTTTCTTGCCCTCTAGAAATCTACCGGATTGTATCCCAGCGGCAACTTGCAGGCGGGCAGCCTGAGGCAGAGTTCAGCCACGGCACCACCATCGAGCCCATCAAAGTCTTGCCCACCCACCAGGAAGGGAGACAGGCCCCTTGCTGCCAGAACATCTAACCTGGGTGGGAAACCATCGTGGGGTGAGGACACAGCCCAAAAACCACCAGGTGCCTTCCCTGTACCCCTGGGAAAAGACAGGTGCCAGGCCCACCCAGTGCCCATCCTCCGTGCTCTGTATCATGCACACCCATTTCTCCACACTGCTTGAAGCTCCCCATTTGCTCCAGCCGAGGCCCCCTCTGGCTGCCAGTCCTGGATTCTCCTTAGGGAGGCTGAGCTTCAGCCTCCGATGAAGCCACCGACAGATCCTGGGGCGGGGGAGGAGGAAGCATGAAGGAGGCTGCTGAAGGCCCCTTGAGTTCTTGCAGAAAGGTTCCCAACTCCTTTGCCCCCTTGGCTTGTACGGAGTGGCTCTCTCTGGCCTGCCAGGTGGTCCACCGATGCCTTGAGGGAGACCTCCAGAGAGCCCTGGAGCACGTTGGTCCTCAAGGGTCCATCCTCCTGGGTGGCTGCGTGTGCTGCCAGCAGAGCAAAGGGTATCTGCTCTTATGACTTCTGCCAAGGCCGCTCAGGAAGGCTACTTTGGAGGAGGGGGCGCCTCTTTAAAATGGGTCACTTTCCTCATATGACCCCAAGTTCTTTGGACAATTTGAGCTGGTTTAAAAGTCTCTGGTGCTGCCAGGGAGCGCCCTCAGTCTCAGACACTGTAGGTTGGTTTAGCTGCTGGCACCCGCAGAGGAAGAGCCTGGCCTGCAGATCCCCTTCAGCTGGGCACCCCCCTGAGTCCACAAGGAGTGAGATTTCCCTCCGAGGACTGGAAGTTTTGGGTGTGTCTGCCTGCAAAAATGCAACTCGCTGGTCCAGCTTGACTTCTAAATGCTGGTACCTACAGTTCAGGAAGCCACTGGTTGTCGTAGAAATCTTCCCGGGGATCAGGTCCTTGTTGCTTACGTGGATTTGAATCTCACAAACAGACGTCCCCACCATCCTACCTCATCTCCCTCCTTTTCCCTCTGTTAGGATTGGGTTCTTTGTGTCTTGCAAACATTCTCAGAGGTGGTTCTGGAAAGAGTGGGTGACTGTTCCCACATTCTTGCAGAATTTGCGCCTGGACAAATGGATTCTTGTGGGGTCCAGGAGAGTCCTCGTTTGGAGGGCTGCTTTCAATAATCCACAGATGGTAAACATCAGAGCACTTTAATGGTTGTTCTCCAAGCCTCCAAGCCTTGCCACCAGAGTTTTATCATGGTCTTGCTCCAATTGTAACCTTTGTGTAAATAATAAAACGGGGGAATTTTAATGTGTGCAATGTGGTGATGTGGAATTTGTGTTTCATGTGGTCTTTCAGGTTTTGCATCTGAGTGCTTAAATAAAAGATGTCTAATAACAATGTTCTGGAAGCTCTCTGGAGTATGGTAATAACTGAACCTGGGACTCTCCTCATCTCAAGTTTAAAGCAAACATTTGTCCTGGTATTCTAATTCTCCCCCACCTCCAATAATGAGAGAAAAGGAGGAGGGGAGGGCTGATCCATCCTTCTGGCTCCTCAGAAGAAACACCTGTGGGGCAAGGGAGTGGGATATTTAGCCCATCAGGCTGAGCTTCCCTGAGCTACATTAAGCAGCCCTCTCTGAAGGGGAAAGCTGAGGTTGGGACCTCTGATGCTCTGCAACTGGAGGGCCACCAGGATCACACTTTCAGGAAGGACCCAGACAGAACTCCAATGCTCTCTGAATGAGAGTTCAGATTGGGGGCACCAAAAAGCCTTCTGGCTGTCCAGAACTGAGGACATCTAGAGAACAAGGAACTTCTTAGCAAAAATTTTAGGTGGGATTCTCAGGAGCTCTAAGGTTTGTGTTCAGAACTAATATTATTCTCATGGATCCATAGGGTTTGTGTACGCATCACCTGCTAAGCTTGATGGTTTCAACAAATTCGGTCACCTGAGCAAAGTGTGTGAGCTCAGTATTTCATAGAATTCTAGAGCTGGGAGGGAGCTTAGAAGTCCTCCTAGGTCCAATCATCTGCTCAGTGCAGAATCCACTAGAGCAGTGCTTGTCAACTTTAGCAACTTGGCTGGGGAATTATGGGTGTTGAAGTCCACACATCTTAAAGTTGCCAAGGTTGACAAACCCTGCACTAGAGCTTCTTTGATAGATGCTATCTAGCCTCTGTTTGAAGTCTTCTAATGAAGGAGAACTTCCCACTTCATATGGTAATCTGTCCCACTGGCTCACAGCTTGTACAGTCAGGATGTTCCTCTTGATGTGCACGCCATTACGTTTCAAGCCACTTTGGGGGCAAATGACATTTGGTTATCTTATGCTTCAGCATTACTATGTGATTCCAGAAAATAGATTAATGTACAGGTTATGTGTGTTATGTGAATATTGTCCTAGAGATAGTAAGTCCCACTGGTTGATCAAGGATGGAGTATGTCAGGACTAAGCCCCTGGGCCTCGGGTGAAAGTGGGAATGGGAGACAGCAGATGGAAAATGGGAGGAGAGAGTTTTTCTCCTTGCCCCAAATGTTAGAACTTGGGAGTCATCCACTGAAACTGAAACTAAATATAGAGAGTTTCAGGACAATAAAAGGAAGGACTTCTTTATACCAAACGTCATTAAAACCAGAATTTGACAGCCAAGAAGGTGGTTTTAAGGAACAGTTGTCAGGTGTCTGTTGCTGCCTCCAGAACCATAGGCAGCAGACCTGAAATCACAACAGCAGGTGATGGCTGAAAAGCCGCCCTCCCCCTCTGCTTTTGGGGGCTTCCTGGCAGCATCAAGTCAGCTTCTGAGGGATGTGAAAAGCTGGAGTAGGTGAGACCTGGCCTGATCTGGCCATAGGGCTGCTCTTCTGAAGGTGGACAAATAAGCACGACGGAAACCAGGGTGATGATGATGATGATGATGATGATGATACGGTTCAGAGCACATCGATGGAGCTATTGGGTAAGGTTACTTTCCATTCTGGAGATTGACCTGAGGGAAAGGAGTGAGTGGCAGGAGATCCCTGTTAAAGATGGCAAGTAAGATTCCACCCGGCCTGCCCCCCTCCAGTCCTGCTTACTCAACCCTACAAAGCGTAATTAGCGGCTGATGGGTGGGAAGCTTAAATAAATCTGGTTTAAATATTGACGACAATAAAAGTTAAGCTTGGCCATTAGTAACATTTTACTGTTGTTCCCATCCCTGCTCAAAGGCTGGTGCAGTGCATTTCCTTCCGGAAGGGTAGTGACATTAGGGACTTGCAGCAGAGAAAAAATGTTCCCTCTGGAGAAAAGCAGCGCCTGGAAGCTTTTTGCCCCAAGATCCAGCCTCAGCTTTGGAGTTGCCCCTGAAGGTCGAGCGAGGACTCGAGGACCCTGCAGCTGGAGAGACACCTCCATCGTGCGTCTTCTAAGTGGGGTTGGTTCACCCACTGGTCTTTTTTTTTATCATGGTTTGTTGAAATTTCAGAGATTGTCCTAAGTTGCAAGCCACTGTTTACAAATCACGATGACTGAATTCACACATGTTCAGTGACACACAACATTATTTGCACATTAAAGTCATGCGCAAATCCAGGCTCTCCCTTTTAGGGTCCCTTAAGTAGAGAGAGAAAGATCATTTTTATTTATATTTCAAATCTAGATACCGCCCGTCTCACAAAAAGCGACTCTTTGAAAGATGTGACCTAGCCGGGTAATGAAACGTTTGCAAGAAAAGAACGAAGCTCAGAGAACCCCAAGGACCCCACAGTTCAACCCCGAGCTACACATATTTGCCTCTATTGGGACCTTTCAAAGATTCTAGGAATACCATAGAACTGAACTGAAGCATGTATGCTTAAACTTCTGACCAGGAAGGAGAGCCAACAATGCAAAATTAAGAACATGGGGTAAGGGCAGGGGATTTAGAGAGGTTTTGGGAGAGGGGAGTGGATGGTGTAGTTATGCTAGGGGTGCTTAGTGTCTGTCAGAAGCACCCTGATGCCAAGCCGAGAGAATGAGCGGATGGCATAATGGGACCCTGGGCATGGTGGAGAATGACCAGGAGGTGGGGATGAAGAGGATGCTGGGGGAGTTAAGGGCAGGGAAGAAAATCCCTTTGGGGGTGGGCAATAGGAGATATGGGAGTTGGGGTGGGCTGGTCTTGGAGAACACAATAGTCCCCTGTCTGCTGATCCGAGGGAAGTCCTTGACTGACTGACTGACTGACTGACTGACTGAGGGGCTCTGGGAGATGAAGCAGCAGACCAAACACTTGCAGCAAGGTTGGTGTGAAACAAAAGAATGAATATGACCAGACATTGCCGAGAGCTTAAATTCAAGCCTGCAACACGATAGTAAAGAGTGATGAGGAGGCTTACTTCTCTGCTCTCATTGCACCCATGGATAGCTATCCAACAGCTCGTTTAAGGCTCCATGATCCTTTTGGGGAAAATCTGGGCCAGAAAATCCCCTGCATGGCTGTTGCGAAGAATTTGCTCATCATCTGGAGGATAAAAAGCACTTGGGGTGAGACCCCCGGCTGTCGAGTCCAGTTAAGATGATGACAGAAGCCTTGTTTTGCAAGATTACCTGGCATTAGTTTGAATCTCTGGATCCTGAAGAAATGGACGGGGTTCTGCCTGTGGTTAGCTCTGCCACCTGCAGATTGGGCTCTGTTGTACTTGGCTAGGGAAAGTTACCAAGGACCTGAGGGAGGGGGCCCGGTGCAGTTGGTGGTTGATGGGCCTTGCCTGTTGCCTCCTCCAGAAACCATTACTCAGCTTGGATAATTGTTGACCCTTCTCCCCAACTTCTGTTTCTTCTTTCTGTTTCTTCATCTGTTTTGAGAAGATGGTAGGACTAGATGATTCCACCATGGATTTGGGACCAAAACTGCATTGATCACTCTTGATGATGAACGGTGGTGAGACAAAGATAGGAGGAATGGGATTCTCCTGGTCCTGTTGTATCTCTCAGTGCCTTTAATAAGGTATATATAGACAAGGGATGTATAATTTAAACATTTTTAACAATAAATTAGGAGCTATCCCAGTTGGAAGGCCCCTTTGAGCCTGAGTTCAAGGCCACATAGCCTTCCTGCCCCCACTACCACCAACTCCAATTGCTTCTGACCAGTGGAATTAGTGGAGACTTGGAAACTTCCTTACAGAAGGAGATGGGGTGGTCATTTCCTCCTCAATCTGGCTTAATCAACCAGGACTGGCAAAAACAGTACACCGGTGTTGTACATCTCCTGCCTGCAGGAATTCTGCCCACAACCTCAGGCTGCACGAAACCTGAGAAGCACCATCACAACTGTAGACAAAGCTATTAAAGGTGCCCCTCAAGGCTCAAAATCACAATATAAAATCAAGCTTGGAACAGTTATGAAAAACTTCACCTGCAAAGAGTTTTGCTTGGGCCATCAAAGCAATCTTCTCACGCCTCCTGCAGGCAAAAAAGTGTAACAGGGCCCAAATTCCTCAGCCCTCTTTGCTACCGTTCCTGTCATGAAGTAGGTCTTGAGGTGGATCTTGTCACAAGTTCTCCTCTGTCACTTTGATATTTCTTTGTGTAGGTTTTGAGGTAGAAGTTGGGGGCTCTCATGCCAGAGATGTCAGATTTGTAAGCATACATCAGCTCCTCGGCTTCAAGGCCACTGAGCGTCTGCTGATTTGTGGGAAGGGTGGCAGGTAGAAATGGCGAGTTTAAACAGCCATGGATATACAAGTCATTGGCTTCATTCCTGCCTGCAATGACGATTCTACTTTGGCCCATGCCATGGCAGGAGAGATCTTGGGAAACCGGACACTTTGCCATCAGATCTTCCTTAGCCAGCCAAGATGTCAATTTGGCTAATGCCAGGAGAGATCATTCATGCGCCATTGTGTCTGACTTGATGGAATTCTTCAGAAAGTTGCTGAAGATTCCTGAGGCACAAGGGTGTCGGCAAGGAGGGGGTCAAAAATCAAGATAGTGGCTACAACTATGGTGGCTATGTGATTGAAACACATGTAAAAAAAAAGGGTGGGGTTCCAATTGCATGATTGTGGCCACCATCTTTACTTTTTTTAAACCCCCTCCCATGAATCCCACCCCTGCTGAGGCAGCCTTTCCAAACCTGGTGTCCTCCACATATATCACAATGGTCATTCCAGTAGGTTTAGCCAACCCAGGGAAATATATGGAGGGCATCTCATTTTATTTTTATTTTACAAATAGCATTGCAGTCTATCTTGTAGAAATTCTACATCATTCTAGGAATTCTGCCTGGTAATTGAGTGCAACACAAATATGAGTCAGCCACGCGATGTGGATGTAAAAACAAGGAA